TAGGGGTGTATTCACTTTTGTTGCCAGCGGTTTAGACATTAATGGCTGTGTGTTGAGTTATTTTGAGGGGACAGAAAATGTACACTGATATACAAGCTATACACTCACTACTTTACATTGTAGCAAAGTGTCATTTCTTCTATGTCGTCACATGAAATGATATAATAAAATATTTACAAAAATGTGAGGGGTCTACTCACTTCTGTGAGATACTGTGTGTATATATAAACACTATATTGCCAAATGTATTGAGACGCTTGCCTTTACATGCACATAAACTTTAATGGCATCCCAGTCTTAGTCTGTAGGGTTCAATATTGAGTTGGCCCACCCTTTGCAGCTATAACAGCTTCAACTCTTCTGGGAAGGTGTCCACAAGGTTTAGGAATGTTTCTATTGGAAAGTTTGACCATTCTATCAGAAGTTCATGTGTGAGGTCAGATACTGATGTTGGAAGAGTAGGTCTGGCTCGCAGTCTCCGATCTAATTATTCCCAAAGTTGTTCTATCGGGTGGAGGTCAGGACTCTGTGCAGGCCAGTCAAGTTCCTCCACCCCAAACTCGCTCGTCCATGTCTTTATGGACCTTGCTTTGTGCACTGGTGCATAGCCATGTTGGAACAGGAAGGGGCCATCCCCAAACTGTTCCCACAAAGTTGGGAGCATGAAATTGTCCTAAATGTCTTGGTATGCTGATGCCCTATGAGTTCCCTTCACTGGAACTAAGGGGCCAATCCCAACCCCTGAACACCATAATCCCCCCTCCACCTAACTTTACACTTCGCACAATGCAGTCAGGCAAGTACCGTTCTCCTGGCAACCGCCAAACCATGCCACGTCCATCGCTTTGCCAGACAGAGAAGTGTGATTCGTCACTCCAGAGAACATGTATCCACTTCTCTAGAGTCCAGTGGCGGCGTGCTTTACACCACTGTATCCGATACCTTGCAATGCACTTGGTGATGTAAGGCTTGGATGCAGCTGCTCAGCCATGGAAACCCATTCCATGAAGCTCTCTACGCACTGTTGTTGTGCAAATCTGAAGTCCACACGAAGTTTGGAGGTCTGAAGCTATTGACTCTGCAGACAGTTGGTGACTTCTGCACACTGTGCGCTTCAGAATGCACTGACCCCGCTCTGTCATTTTACGTGGCCTACCACTTTGTGGCTGAGTTGCTGTTGTTCCCAGTTGCCTCCTTTTTGTTATAATACCACTAACAGTCGACTTGTTGGAATATTTAGTAGCAAGGAAATTTCACGGATGGACTTATTGCACAGGTGGCAACCTATCACGATACCACTGATATTCACTGAGCTCCTGAGAGCAACCCAGTCTTTCACAAATGTTTGTAGAAGCAGTCTGCATGCCTAGGTGCTTGATTTTATACACCTGTGGCCATGGAGGTGATTGGAACAGCTGAACCCAATGATTTGGAGGGTTGTCCCAAAACTTGTGGCAATATAGTGTGCATGTGTATATAAATGTGTGTGTTTTAAAGAATTAAAGTAAAAAAAAAAAAAATGCAAAAATAAGTAAAAAAGTAAAGTCCGCAAACGCGTGCATAGTAACGTTAATGTCTGATGCGTCTACATGCGAAAATGTTGATTGCGCTACACGTTATTGCCACGTGTGCCAGAGTGAGAACATTAATTCTAGGGCCAATAGTCAGTTAACTCTAAAGTGATGATCTGTATTGGCTTTTAAAACGTAATCTCTGGACAATTTGGGGTTCCGTATTTTGTCGCCATTTCATGTTTTTTTTTAAGCTTGGCATGTTGGGTATCTATTTACTTGGTGCCTTTTTTTGTGTGTGTAAATATAAGAGTATTATATTGTTTTGGGGCACTATAATTAACTTAAATAAATGTTTACAAAAAATGTGGGTTTGCTAAAGAGTTGTACTGATATCATGCTAAGAATATTTGCCGAGATTTTATTCTACAGGTACTGTGCTTTCAGGAAATATTTAAAGTAATTTTCAGGCCTAAAATGTGGATTATAACATGTAAAGTAATGCCTCGGCAGCAAAAGGTTTAGAGGAAAAAAAAAACCTCCTTACCATCCCCCCTCTAACATATCCTGCCATGTGTTTTGCTTTTGTTACCTGGGGCAGCAAATTATCTTATACCCATTGAGGTCCCTCGCTGACGCTGTTTCCACTGGCTAACCCCTAATCCAGCAACGCACAGTACTCTTGCCAGGCGGTCCCCTTTGACTTTCCTCGGGTCAGTAATCTTCTGAATCCTGAGAGGACCTTTCTAGAAAGCCAATAGGAAACACTCACATCACATAGGCACATGGACACCAGCAGGATGCAGAGAGCAAGACCCAAGGCTCGATGGTCATGTGACCATGGCTTAAAGTAGTATTAAACTGTGAAACTTTTTTCCCAATAATAAATCCAGATCAAACAAATTTACATTGCCCGGCAAGGTATTTCTTTATATTTTCACCCAGTTAACATGTTCCTAAACAGCTAGCTCCAAGCTCCTGCATCTCGTGATGCTGTCCTGGAAGACGTTATGGGAAATTGTTTTGACTTTAATAGCACTTTAAGGTAGAGTGAAGAGTTTTTTCTCCAGTACGCATTGAGGGGGGGCAGTTGAAAGGTTTTCAGTTTATCCTGGGGTTGACTTTTAACAGCAGAAGAGACTCCCTGGGGCTATGACTAAGACCGAAACACGCAAGCAGTTGTTTTTTTGTATAGATGCATGTGGAATAAAGTTTCTTTCTTTGGAAGATCATCATGTGCTGGTTCTAGTTTTTGAGCCTATCAGAAGGTCATCCGTGCACCGAATGTGGATTACAAAGATGCACGACAGGTGAGCTTTGCAGTGTTTCTACTCTCTGGGGTTGATTTATTAAAGCCAAATACTTTACAACGCAATTGCCACTTAGTTTAGTAAATGAAACTCTGCTGACATCCGTCATCCAATCATGTCCACAGGGAAAAAAAATGATATGCATGTAACTGCATTTGCCAAATGATTTCTCACCAAGCAAAATTCCTGTGCAAAGTGAACAGCCTACTTGCCTTCATTAACTCAAACCCACTTTCTGCAATAAAAGCTCTCCAGCCTGCCAGCAATGTTTTTCTCGAAATGTACCCTGAACCACACATGTAAGGTCATGTACAATCTCAGCCTTGGAATGTACCTTGAATTGCCTTAGTGCTCAGATTGATTCATTTCCACAAGCATGCTGAATTTGGATCACCAACTGAAGGTCAGCGGCAGCGAGGGAGCTTACACGCCACATCGCTGGAGGGCAAGTACAGCGTATTTTAGTTTGTATCATCTGAAAAGCTTTAGGACTAGCATGCAGTACAGTAGTGGAAAAACTGCAACCTCCACCCGTATTAATGCTGCATTCATAATCTTGTGTGCGTTATTATGCACATTAACAAGTGGAACGATAAACGTAGTTTATGCACAGGCCAAACAGAACCACCTGTCCCTCAGCACATGAAGTAACAAATATATGCTTTGCTTTAGGAGCACTAGAAAAAAATTGAGTATGTATATTTGGTGGCCAAGCACATTTATATGCTCTTAAAGGCATAGTCCCCATTTAGACCAGGTTTTGCATTTCACCAACATGATTAAGGGTGTAACATGAAGCACGGTCTCATACACCATTCTGATAAATTCCCCCCATTATGTTTTACTGATCAAGGCGGCTGTCACTTGTATAGTAGGCTGTTTGTCTGCTCTCCCTTTGAGCTCCATCCCCTCCATGGTTTTTGGGGTCTCCCTCCTCTGGGGAACAGCAATAATTTCAGAATGGAGTGGGGAACAGACCAGAGACCTTCCATTCTCTGATTTGCTCTGTGATCAGTGAGAAAGGAGTGCTGTACTTGTAGCCTACCTGTCCTAGCTCATATAAAAAGGAAAAACCACCAGCACACCAAAATTCCTTGCCTCAAATCTTTATTGACATGATCAAGGTGGTCTCACAGTGTATGGCAATGTTTCAGAACCCTATCCGGTTTCCTCCTCAGGCTTGCCATCCACTTCCACCGCAGCACCCACCTAAAATTATTGGGTTTAGATTCCGGTTAGGTATGCGATGGGTTATGGACACATGTTCCTGTCTCAGCTGTCACATGTGGAGCTGTGCTCGATCTCCTATATTGGAGGGCATGCTCCATGAAGAGAACCTGTCACCTCCAAACACCATCACACAGGGGCTTGTTAGCATGTGTGATAGCAAAAAAGTGATAAAAAAACCAAACAAAAAACCAGTATTAAAAAGGAAATGTAAAAAACAAAAAATTAAACCCCCACCACCCCTGCATACAAATAAACACACGAGTATGGCATTGTACATGTGCGTGCGTGCATTCGTTGAGTGCTGCCCTCATTCCACTGTGTGCATTAAAAGATTTAAGTTCACTCTCACTCAGGATAATTTGGACTGACTCACTGGTCATGACCATGCCGACTAATGAGAAAAATCACTTAGCACAGTTAAAAATGGTTTTGGTTAAAATTGTTTTTGAAAGGTAGACTGTCATGAGGCACAGGTAGGTTGGGCTATATTGGACATGTAGTTTTTTTTATTTTTTTTAAAATCTCCACATCCCTGAAAACGGCTGCAGGTAGCCTATGTGGAATCAATGTACGAGTTTTAATACAAATGGACACAGGTAGGTCTCTGCAATGAAGTTTCCCAGAAGCCTTGTTATGTCCAAACAGGGGAACACCTCCCGCCCGCTTCAGTAAAAGTCGTGTCACATTTTTTTTTTTTAACAGAAAAGGAGAGTAATCCTCAAATGTACGAGTAGGGATGCTCAATTTTATGGTGCCAATGCTTACCACCTTCCTAATGCATCTCTGCAAACCCTCCAGAAATGACCGACATTCCAGGTGTCTAAGCAGCCAATAACCAGGCCCCAGTGTGACAACCACGGCTCCCTTCACAGAGAGCAACACAGACACTATTTGTGGTGGTTGTGTTCCCACAAATACTACAAGAACTCAGTTAAGCTAGAATCATGTCAGAGTCAGATATCATATATATTTATTTACAATCCATGTCATTCATGGCTAGGAAAGTCAATTCATTGTCAAGACGGTCCACCGAACCTAAAACAAAGGCAAAAAAAACTTAAATGAAAAAAGGAACAATCAAGTTGAGCTGCAACATATCTAAATAACTGGCGCATCAGAAAGCGTTTACAGTATCACGGTTTTTCATACTGTTACTTGATCATCACATGCACAATCAAGGTTTTCCCAGAAAAAAAAAAATTTAATCATTTAAATTACTTAGAATTTACATATTCTGTCATTTAGTTGCCTATTTTATTTGGGGCTTGCAATTGGCTTCAGGGTGCGATTAAACTTTGGCACTCCTAGAGTGCTATCCCTTGCCTTACCTATGCAGCCCACTCAGACAGATTATTCCAAAACAATTACAATGCCGACTGGCCAGAACAATTGTTTGTAGCTCTTAAACTTTACACATACCTTAGATTTTCTTCTGCAGGTTTACTTTTTCAGAAGCTGGTGTCTGACAATGAGGAAGGGGGCAGTAAACCCACTGCCGACAAACGCGGTCATTACAGCTAGTAACTTCCATTTGTTTTCGACGGAGAAGGGCATGTTCTGCAAGACATATCAATGAAGCATTGAAACTACAAAATTAAGCAACCTTTTACTGGACAGGATAATAGTGAACAAGCTAAAACTGGTACATCAGAAAGCGTTTACAGTATCACAGATCATCTCATACTGATATGTTATCATCACCTGTACCAATTATACAAACTTTAACATTGACATAAATAATGTAATATTATGTAAAAAAATTAATTATATATAATATATATCTCAAAAGAACAAAGTTAATAGATCAGATTTGCTAGCATGTTTGAAAATCTTTCCACCAAACCACAGCGATGCTACGTCTCACTAACCAAAAGCAATACAGACAGCCATGTCACTTCTCTTGCAAAGCAGTACATTGCTTGTTAAAAGAACAATGGCCAAATCTTTTTTGGCGTCCATTTTATTTGGGTTACAGGAGAACAATTTACTAATGTCCTCCTGTGACCCAAAACTCAGCATATAGCAGACTATTGCCAGCTATATGCTGACAGTGCAAAGCAACACTGCAGTCCGGAAAGATAAGACAGTATTGCTGTGATCCAATTCACTACCCGATTGACAGCTGGTTCTGTCTCTCTAGTCAGCTGAGCCCACCCCCATCCATGTCTGTCCCTCCAGTCACCACAGCAATGGAGAGGGGAGGGGGGAATCCTTGCAGGGAGCAGTGGCTAAAGGTGCCCATACACCTTACGATTATCGGACGAAACTTTTCGTCCGATGATCGAACCGTCGTACGATTTTCGTACGACGGCCCCATCCTGCCCCTATTATCGCAAGGTTCAATCAGCGGTAGTTAGAAAAAAACACCTGGACGACTTGCGGTAATTGACCGCAATTATTTTCGTTTGCGCATGCGCAGTGTTAATCGTACGACTTTTGACGGACGGAAACGCCACCAACCATGCGAACATCGTACGATCAACCAAAGTTTTCAAACATGCTTGACCGTCAAAAGTCGTACGATTGTACAGTACTATCGGTCGGGCACTCTATTCACACGTTACGATTGTCGTACGAAAAGTCGATCGCATACGATTATCGTATGATAATCGTAAGGTGTATGGGCACCTTAACAGTCACTGCTCTTTGCAGTGAGAAGATTGTGAACTGATGGATCAGCGGTTTGTGATCGCTCAGTTACCGATCAAAAGAGGACATGTAACAACAGCAGTGTCACACATCAGCTCTAACTATGGGGGATAAGTGCAATTGACTCTCTCCATAGTTGTCCTTTAAGGGGTTAGCTTACCAAACTACAGTAGCGGATTTCCTTTAACTCCCAACATAAACTTCACTAGAACACCAACATAAAATTAACATTTGCAAACATACCACCCCCCAAAAAAATTGCTCTTGCACTCAGATTTTTAGATAGGAGGGGAAAAAAAAAAAAAAGGGCCTGGATTTCACATTGAATTCTGCACCCTGGTGGGTGGGCAGACAAAGCATGCACATCATGGCACACATACCTCTGTATGCTCCCCTCTTCAGCCAATGTTAGACAACCCCTGTACATAACAGGAGTCACGTTTTCCCCCCACACCCAGCTTTATTCTTGGTGTGCGCAGATGTACACTGCCTACCTAGTGCATTCGCCTTGCACATAGAGGAAAGTTGCAAGTATTTCCATGAACAGCTTTTTTTTTTTACAAAAAAGTGTTTCTTGCAAAAACAAAACAAAAACTATTATGATTATAATCACCCTAATGGTGGCTCATGTTCCCCACTGCATGCCAGCACTGGTGGCAGGGGTTGGAGGATGAACCACACAGCTACCTCCCCATGTATCACTTCCCCCTCTTTTAGATTGTAAGCCCTCAGGGTCAGGGCCCTCCTTACCATCTTGAATTGTATTGTGATTGTAATGTCTTCCTTATATTGTAAAGCACTGCGCAAACTGTTGGCGCTCTATAAATACTATGTAATAATAACCATAGGGGGGGGGCACACTAACTTCCAGCACTCCTAAACATTTAAAATGCCAAAGGCTCTGAGGCTGCATATAGATAAAAATCAAGCAAAGGCAAGTGACACAGGCCATCAGAGAGGAAAGTATGATGACTTTCCTCTTGCAAAGAAATTTGGACTAGATTTATCTGGCAATGCCAGAACCTAGAACCTCTGACATTCTTTTAAAAGTAACCTTTTTAAAGCATCAGTTCCTAAAATAATACTGGGCAATTCCTTTTTCAGGCACTTCCTATAATGGAGTGACAACTGCTATGATCCCATGTTGCCACATCACTGGTGGCAACTATACCACTGGAGGTCACGTGCAGGCATTGTCTTGTGCACTTACAATCAGAAGGACCATCCAGATTCACTCTAGGAATTGGCACGTCTTCCACCCTTATTCATAGTTCTGTGTGACCGGCACCCAAGGAAGGACACAAACCCCACCACACACGCCCTCTTCCGCTCGCTCACCTTCCCGGGCCCTTCGCCATAGTGGCCGCCACGTCGAAGAGCGGATGTAGTGAACCTACGGACTGCCTGACCGAACATGCTGACGACAAGGAGACACTAACACCACAATCGACAAGAAGCGTTCTACTTCCGCTCCAACGAGGGGAGGAGACAGGAAGCCTCTAGAGAGATGCATGTTGGGATTGTAGTTCGGAAGCTCTGTTGCCGTGCTCCCTGGTACAAGTGTGTCACATAACTGAACTACAACTTCCGACAGCCTTGATTGCACGCCTCGCATTTTGCGCTGCTTCCTCTCTAGGTAACGCGTAGACTATAATGCGCCCATGTTAGCCAAGGTCAGGGAATGATGCGGAGAAGGTGACCGGAGGCTGGTTGTTTGAGGGTGTTGTGTAGTCACATCAAGTCTGTAGAAGAGAAAGTATATGTGAAGGCTTAAAATTGGGTCTATGGAGAGAGACATATTTAAAGTGATAAGGCTTAGAAAACATAGCCCTATCTCCTCTTATGGGGAAAGATGTGTTTAATAAGGTAAAGACGATATTTAGATTTGGGGAGGAGAGGGATTATAACACCTCTTAGGTTTAGGGAACTTCCCATGCTCTATTTGAGTGTTATCACTAGGAACTCTTGTATTTAAATTGTATTGTCTCCCTCCATTTTGTAAAGTGTTGTACAAACTGTTGGTGCTATATAAATCCTGTATAATAATTTGGGTTATCACCCAAGCAGGAAGAAGTGGGACATCTTTTGAAGGGGACTCTAGCCCTGGTGACAACCAGGGATTTCTTCTCACTTCCTGTTGTAACTATGGAATAGGAAGTTAAATGAAATCTTCCCAATGGGACATAGAAGATTAAAAAAAAAGCAGACAGGTTATAGCCCTCCCTTACTCTATCCAAAACTAAAAACAAGTTTTGGCTTCAGCTCTACTTTAGTGACCCTAAACTCAGGAGTTAAATCTTAAAGGAGAACTATGGGGTCAGGGCTTTTCCCCATAGTTCTCCTCAGGGTAACGGGAGGACACAAACTAGCGTCCTCCCATCACCCTAGGCTCAGTATATACTGAGATGCCGCAGTATACCGCTAGCTGCTGCTCGCGATATACTAAGATGCTGAAGCGGATCCCGACAATTATGTCTGGATCCGCCCAGCTGCGTGAGGGACAGCTGGCTCTGCCTATCTAGAGGCAGAGCCAGCTGAACCCGCCCCCTCCCCCGTCCGATCCGCCAGTCAGCACTGGTGGATCGGAGCGCTGTCAGCTGTGTGTGTTGTAAAGTAGTCACCTCTCCCAGCCTGCTCCAATGATAGACTACGATCTCAATACAAATTAGTAAACTAAATATGAGATTTTAATCCATCACAGGAGTGAGCTTGGAGCGGTGGCTACTTTACAACAGACACAAGGACCATGGGGAACAAAAGTACCCCCCCTCCAGAAGGAAGGACAGTGTCAGCACCAATTCAGAGATAATTTGAGGATCTACAGCTGTGTGATGCACAAATAAGATACATTTTTGTTAACAGGGTACTGTATTTTTAGGATTTAACTTAACTAAATTCACCCTCTATTTGTCCCGATGACTGTTACCACTGCAAAAAAATAAATAAATAATGTTGTCTCTGAATCACTGTTTGAGCCACTATTTAAAATTATTTCTTCTTAAATCCTAATGCAAGCAAAGAAAGGGAACATCGTGGAAATATTTAGATGAGGACACTAGTTCCAATGACATACCTACTCATGTATCACTGCCCCCTCCCATTTAGATTGTAAGCCCCCACTGGCAGGGCCCTCCTTACCATCTTGTCTTGAATTGTATTGTGATTGTAATGTCTTCCTTATATTGTAAAGCGCTGTGCAAACTGTTGGTGCTATATAAATCCTGTATAATAATAGTGAAAAAAAAGGTTTTGCCTCTGTTGGTAAAACTACCTACAGAACACTTCATCTGTATCAGCTCACAAGATTTCTGATCAACAGGTATTTATTTGCCCTTATTAAAAAGACTGAACGAGATCAGATAATGCTGGGCACACACCTTACAACCATCGCAAGACTTCTAAGCTAATTAAAAAAAAGTGCGATCTGCCTATCTTGGACAGGCAGATCGTACATGTTCCTAAGATAAAAGTCGTGCGGCCTTCCAGTAGCAGAGGTTGCACGCCTTCCACACACCTTGAGATTATCGTACGATCGCGGGATTTCCCGCGATTATGGCAAGGTATGTGGGCACCTTAAAGGTACCTTAGTCAGGGTTTACATTCCCTTTAATTTGGTAAATTAAACTTTTTTAATTGGATAGAGGCAGTAGTCCCAGTAACGATTTTAATGTGCTTGTTTTCTAAATGTGTTTTTACAAGTACTTTCCCTCAGGTACTCGCCGATACCAATTACCGATACTTTCTCCTAAAGGCACATGTAACATTTTTTCTAAAACAATACAGACTAATAGTTTTGGGGTATTTTCTTTATAAATATGAAGAACTGTAACTCAAACCATAATTATTCAGCAATGTAAAATTCCAACCAGCAATAGAGGAATACAGATCCCATCAATCAATGATTATACAGCCATAGAGAATGGCAATCGTGGATCGCTGAGATTTGTAGTCCTCTATAGCCAGTTGCCATTCTCTATTTGCATTTGATTAGCACTGTGACATACACCAATAAGAGAAGAACAATAGGCAGCCGCAGTATAAAAGTTAACTTACCTGCTCTCAGAAGGGTATGGCAGGCTCCAGAAGGGCTGCGAGAGTCACTCAGAAGTGTGGTGGTGTATCTGCGGGGGTTAAGTGGGACTGCGGTCTCGCCAATGCTGCGTTTGGGTCTCACCAGGTGACACCCATACACCCTGCATGCAGATCTCACCAGTGTTTGGGTGTCACCAGGGCTGTGTTCACGTCTTTCCAGGGCTGCTTTTAGGTCTCACATGGGCTGCATGTATGGCTCCGCAGGGCTGCATGTGGGGCTCTCCATGTAGGCGTTCTGGTCTCACCAGGGCGTCGTGGCAACAAGGGTCGTGCCAGCTCGTCCTCGTGGCGGCTACAGCCTGCGGCTTCTCTCCTCACCGCTTGGCCATCCGACATGAGAGCGCTCCCTCCTCCTCCCCCCCCTTCAGCACTGTCCTCGGATCCCCGCTGCCTGTATGGGCGGGGAGAAACTGCGTTGAAGCCTGCAAAGGGGGGGCGCTGCCTGCTTTAAGGATGGCTGAGCGGTAGGGAGGAGAGGAGCCGCTGTCATCCTGTCAGTTTCCGGATGACAGCGGCTCTGTGCGTGGCCGAGCAGAGGATCGGTAGATATCATTGATATTTACCGATCCTCTGTGTGTGAAGGACAAACACTGGAGTGATCATCTGATCACTCCAGTGTTTGTAAATAACTGGGGACACGTAGTACTATGTGTCCCCAGTTATGAATGTACAGGATGGGATTTACATCACTTCCTGTTCATTCACGCATTTCTGAATGGGGAGTAGCACTCACTACAGAGGCTTTTCCCCATTCAGGAACTGGTGATAGTAAATGTTTTACTATCATCAGTGTCTGAATGAATGGGAAGCCTCTGTACTGAGTGCTTTCCATTCATTTAGAACAGAGGCTGCAGAAAAAGTAATTGAGGACTTTGTGTCCTCAATTTATTTTCTATTTTAAAAGGGAAATGTCAGGGGTCTTCCCCAAAGCCCCCCCCAACAGTAAAAAAAAAAAAAAAACATTGGTGTTACATCAACCGTTTGATTTTAAAAAAAAAAAAAAAAACATTTAAAAAAAAGTGAAAATTACCCCCCCCCCCACACGTATTATTAAACGTGTGCAAAGACTACAAATTAATTTCAGACGAAATGAAGGATAACTAAAAACGTTTTCATTTGTTTCATCAAACAAAACACATTTTTATGCTATTTTGGATTCAGCCATTGGCGTGTTCTGGAGGCAAGGCCCATGACGTCATATAACACCGCACGTGTTGGGCGCCGCCATCTTGGTGTATATCTAGGTAGACACCAAGATGGCGGCAACTATATTGGTGTGTGACGCCACCTGACGCCCCACGCATGCATGGCGTCATGTGACGTCATGTTCCCCGCCTCCAAGATAGTGGCACGCATTCGCAGAACGCACCAGTGGCCAACATGGCCGCCGCACAATCTCAAACAAATTATTATGTGCCTGAATACATTTTTCATATATTCAGGCAAATAGTAATTCATTAATTTAACATGTAGTCTGGGTTTTGTGTTCTGTTTTCTATTTTTACTTTTCTAGATACACTTACTTGAAAAAAGGGTCTGACAACCTTACACTTTATTTTTATAAACTCTATTTTAGTTTGACATTTATTGTTTGCCTGCTGATGTTTTATTTAATAAGAATACTTGCATGTCAAACCAACTACGGACACTGCGGCAAGTGCGTCCCATAAAGTCAAAACCAGTGTCCATCAGGACATATGTGAGAATATCTTAGAGTAACAATACAAGTATACTAAGCAACATAAAGTGAGATATCATGGCTAATGATGATTAAACGATACATGTGGCAGGTATAGTCTGCACCTGCATTGTTAGGGTGTACCTGAGATTATTTGTGACCCAAGGGTTTCGGACTTGATAAGGCATCAGCCATGCACCGGGTACATGTCTAACTATGCAGACTCGGTAGGACATCTATAGCATGCATAAGGGAGAAAATAACAAGTTGCCCTTGGAGTATCATGAGGTATACAGAGTACAGCGGGCATCTCTTAACCAATATTTCCATTGTGTAGAGAAGGTTTTTTCCCTGAGATTGGCTCTAGCAAATAGGTGTTCACAATGAGCATGGGTGTTGAGAATTGTTATCACTGAGAGTATGGGAGGGGGTTCCAGTTGTTTCCAGGCTCTTTCGATAGCCTGCCTTGTTGCTATGAATATGTGAGATACAACCGTTCTGGACAAGGGAGGCCAGTCAGACAGAGCTATACCTAGTAGTGCAAATTATAGGGAGGGGGTAAATGTGGTACCTGTAAGTGCATATATCAGTGCAAAGACTGCCATCCAGAGGGGTTGAATCTTCACACCGTGCCACCAGATGTGAGTTAGGGATCCTACATGACCACAATTCTGCCAGTAGAGGGGGGAAGTCGAGGGATAGATTCTAGCTAGTCTCTGAGGTGTAAA